GAAGTTATTTAAAATAATAAATATTAAATCTTCTTAACTTAAATTTTTAATTTTTTCTTTATTTAAAATATATATATTTTAAATAAATTTATTTGAAATAAGATCGAGCCCTGCAATTTTGTAATTAATAAAAGAGAATGTTTGACAGAAATTTAAGAAGTTTTATCGTTCCATAAGAAATATTGTAAATAAAATTCTTCCTTGAGCGTTCTGTCTATTGAACTATAAAGTAGAACAAAGTAGGGATCGTCGCACTTGGGGTTTCTCTGAAACACTAAATCCGCCATTGGTAGAAACCGCGCGCGCGTGATTTATCCCAAGAAAATGATTTCTATAATTATAGTTTTATATCGCTTAGTGGCGTGGTGAAAGGGAATAAAGCTATCATAAGAGTGAAGCTACAAGATAGCTTTTATAACACGATTATCCTGTGGTTCCAGGTACAGGAAGCTTTAATCTCGTTAAAGGACAAGCTCAAAGGGACCTATTACACGCTCAGAACATTAGACAAACAGATCCGGCAACAATTACTAGATGATCATTTCCTGTTCAAGCAAGATGACAGATTTCTAAAAGCAGCTATTAGAACGCTATTAGATTTAGATCAATAGATTCCCTAAAGTAATAATGTACAACTAATATCAATAACATTATATTTTCTTACTTGCTGCCTACTGAAATTAATTTCAATGTACATGTTTCAATTCAGCTTTGGAGCTAAATTAAATTGCACAAATAAATTAAAATTATTTAACATCCATCTTATTTATGATAGAAATCGGATGGCATTTCGAATGTATTCCATTTACGTTGACTGCGCGCTAAGAGCTAACTTCGACGACTAATATTACACGGGGTCAAACTTCGATTCGACTGTAGTTGCTTTCGTTAAAACATTCAATTACAATGTCTTAAGTTCCTTCAGCCTACTCGAAAACATTAATCCCCTAGGTAAGCCATACACCCCAAATCGAGGATTTATGTTGAAACGAAGATTAAACCAAAACTTTGCCAAGATTAAAGCAAGTTCTCTAAGAGAATAAGCAAAACGATTATGCGTGCATATATCAGCAAACGTTTCGATTTGCAAACTGCAACGTGCATTTTTAAGTAGTTTCGTAATCAAGCTTTTTATACCTACATCTTATTACACCGTACTTTAAATAATCATTTAAGTTATAAATCCCCCACGATGTCCGTGTAAACAATGTATTCTACGGTGAAACGACTTACGTATGTGGTACAAGGACGGCGAACAACTGATTAAATAAATTTGCATTAATGATTTTCGTCACGATGAGGTCTCGAAGATCCCTTCGTCTCTCGGATTAGAGAGTTAAAAGGGTTAGAAGGTATTACGGAGCTTAGTGTTACGGAGCTTAGAAGAGGGTGTGATGTGCAGTGCTTGAGAGTTTTCCGAAAAAATTGAATGTTTTGTTGAATTCTTTTTTTTTGTTTTTATGAGCCGTTCCAAATTACGTGAAATGCACGAGATATGTTCAGAATCATTAATTCGTTATTATGAAAAATGAGATACAAAAAGGTTTCTGGTTTTTTCTCGAGTCGAGTCTTGTTTGTGTAATCATTTTACGTAATCATTCCAATTTTGAAAATATATATAGATTTATATATATATATAGATTTATATAACGGATGGATAATCCAAGTTACATTTGTAAAAGAATTTAAGTGGAAGATAAAACGAATTATCACGTTAATTAAAAAAAAAAAAAAAAAAAGGTTTCATTTTCCATCGCTTGTCGAACAAAGGATCTCAGCACGCTCTTTTTCTCGCGTTTACGCAGAATGCATCTGCAGTTATGCTTAATTGACAGCATCGTAATTCTGTTGGGTTTTCCTCTTGTTTCCCTCATTTGACGTTGTCGCTAATATTAATTAAATGTGCAATGTACAGAAATATGATTCGCCATAGGACAAATTTAATTGCGTTTGTTTCGTCTATCTATTGCATATCTCATCGTTGTATTTCTTCTTTTCCATTTGTATGCATTGCATTCGATGGAGATTACTGCGTTGCCTGCTTGTTACTCACAGATAATCAGAATTGTAGCCGGATCTATTTTTCCTTTTAATAAAGAGATACGCTCGAATCAATACGGACTAGCCTTTGAATACACTAATAGATTAAAGTGTATTTAAGTTCATCCGAATATAATAGACTTTTCATATCGTCTATACATCTTACATAAAATATTACCTTATCGTTATACTTTAATTTAAAAAGCGCTTATTCCAAATTAACTAACTTTTATTCAATTTCGATATTCTGATGACTGATTTTATATTCGTTATTGAATTTAGTAATATTTACAATTTATTAATTGGATTACAAAATAGATAACTTGCGAGATCTATAAGTGAGATTTTGGTAAAATATAAATGAGATTTAAGCGGGAATAAAACAGGTTTATTTTGTTAAGATATATTTGTGCGATATTTTTAGATAAAGTTCACGTTACGGAGCACCATACATGATTATAAACGCACACGAAAAAATCATTTTTTCAAATTAAAATGCAAGTGGGCGAGGTAACTTCTGAACACGCATTTGCAATGTAATGTCCCTTGACTGAAAATACGACGATCTCGGTTAAAAGTTAAACGGAATTGTCTCCTTGCGACCTATTCATTATCTCTTTCATACTACAAAGAATGCAATATAATATTTATAAGTATACACACACATGCATACACAACAAAACTACTTACACAAAACACACTTAAGACAACAGAATATAATAGAAGAACCTTTTGCGATTAAAGAAGAACATGGCTTCCTAGTTGAAAGTTCAAGAGATATAAAACTACGCTTGTTTGTATCACGCTATTCTCTCCTTCAGGTATAAGGATATTTTTTAACGAGGAGAAAACTTTCCTTGTCTGCCGTAAGATCCTTGGAGGATCACATGCGTCTGATATCGATGGAACGAGATGGCAACCTCACGGCGGTGTACGAGAGACTCGTTAAAGTGGTCCAAGAAATCGAGAAGAAATTGGAATTCCTACAGTGCCGAAGACTCGGCTTCCTTACATTTTGCTCTACGAATCTTGGCACAGCCATACGAGCCTTCGTGCACGTTCGCCTGCCAAAATTCAGCGCGGATTTTATCAACTATCCAAAGAGATCGGCAGTGTACGGTTTTCAGGTGAGAACGACAATATTATATTGATAAAGTTAAATCATTTGATATAACGAATAAATATTATAGTTACGATGAATATGAAGAAGCGATTATGGATTGCTACGTTTCACAAAATCTAATTTATTTGAAAATTATATATTTTAAATATATTTTTTTAAGTGATATTTATTT